ATTAAAACAGATGCGCAAAAGAGCTCAATGTATTTACTATAATAGAACGTATAAATTACACAAAAAAATCCAAAATTACTTTCATATGGTGGAGGAGTAGATCTATTACAGACAACGCGAAGTACGCCGGTCTTATTCAACCCCGGTAGATGGACTGTGTTCATGTCGGAATTAGAGATTTAAAATTTAACTTTGACAGCAGTCGAAAAATAGATGCAGAACGTACCCACATCGACGACTCAGTCAGATGAAATGCCTGAGTCGGCGGTAAGGGCAGGGCGGAAAATATCTATCTTAAAGGGAAGAAACACCACAAATTCAACCCGGATATTAACCTTAGTTTCGGTTCTATGAAGAATGAGGTGTTGGATTAAAACTAAAAGAGAGCCGAAAAGGGGTTTTTATATATAAGCATTTTATAATTATATATATAAAAAAAAGTTAGGTTCCTACTTCAAAAAAAAACAAAAAAAAAACAACAAAAAACCTACAAATCAGATATCTTAACAAGATAACAGTCAATCATATTTAGATAAATTATATTAAGTAAGAATATATTTAAAAGAATAAGGTTAGAGAAGGCGAAGATCCTCTTGAATAAGTTGGAAAATAACCCTAGAAATATATATATATATATATATATATATATATATACAAGGTGTTTCAAAAAATTTGTTATCATTTCGCAATCTAATAACTTTGTTAGATCTACTTCAAATGACTTCAAATTTTAATAGCATCTTTATGTTTAATGTTTGTTTTATGTTTTTATGTCTTTATGTTTTTGTGTTTTTCTTATTTGTATTTTTATGTTCTTTAATCTTTAATCTTTTTCTTTACAGGTATAAAAATGCCGGGTCTCAGGCGGTTCGCATATTGAACATTTGTGAAATCGTTCACATAATCCACATGCTTTTGAATTTCTCATTCAGATTTGGAAGAATACATCTTATGATTTTCAACATTAATACTTTTTAATTTCATTTGCCTTAATCATTTACTTTCTGTGATATTTACATCTCAAAGGATATCAAATTTTTTGAAACACCCTGTATATATATATATATATATATATATATATGGATGTTTCGTTAAAAACGACAGACAAGATTCTACGATTAAGCTTTTTATTTAACTTGACTTGTGTTCGAACAAGTAAAATGCACTACCCCAATAAAAATATCAAATTAATTATCTACTACAAAATATTTAAAACAGCTAGCATCATTCTAAAAGATAATAACACACCATCAAAGTCAAAATTACAACGAATGAACATTATCTATATATATATATATGTTCGCTACGTAGATGATATTTTTATTTTAGCAAATAATATTAAAGAAATAGACACACTTAAGACCACATTTGAGAAAACTTACGTCCTTAACTTTACCTATGAAATTAGTCAAAAAAACAAACTTCCGTTCTTAGATGTGCTCGTAGAATACAGCAATAACAATTTCATGAAATCATTATATAAAAAAATCCACTAGCAAAAACTCGTGCCACCTTAACTTTAAAAGCGAATATCCACTTAGGTACAGTAATAAAAATCTTCGGAAAAAGAGCACACCAGAATTCACCCCCCCCCGGCTACTCTTCCTCAATGAACTTAATAATATTAAACAAAAACTAATCAACACTGGTTTCTCTAACCACCTTATAGAGCACCAAATTAGACTATATCTCCCTAAAGTAAGTAATAACGACAAAATCAAAAATTACATACACATTTATTACCAAATGCACATTATCTACAAACAAGACGAATCTTCACTAAGACATATCATAAAGAAATACACTACCCGAATTAACCCGAATAAAAAAATCAAATTTATTATCTATTATAAAAAATTTAGGACAGCTAACCTTATCCTCAAAAATAACAAAACACCAGCTAAGTCAAAATTACAACGAACGAACATTATGAGTTCAAATGCCCCTTAAGGATCTGTGTTCCTGATCAAACCGAATTCATAAATAATTACATCGGTCACACTACTACATGCCTATCCCGACGCCTCACGTTACAGCTATCTGACGACAGCTCTATTAGAACCCATTTAAACGCATACACAAACTTACCAGACCCCATCCGAAACATACTAGTAGAAAATACAAGCTTAATAACCTCATTCCCATGTAAAAAAAAAAGATTAAAGATAATGGAAGCTTTAATAATAAAAAAAGAAAAAGCCAACACTTAATAATATTAACAACGAACACGGTCACAATATGCTAACTGTGTTCAGAAAATAAAACATCTCTATAACACTGCAAACATACACACAACGATCACTCACAATTAAATTGAAAAAATAAAACCATTCTTGATAATGGCTAAATGTATAGCACAAAGCTCTTGGAATTACAGGAACTTTCCAGAAAAAAAAACACTTCTTCGAACACAAGAATAATTAAATAAAAAGTTTAATCGTAGTACCTTGTCTGTCGTTTTTAATGAAACATGCATAAATGAAGGATTGTTACCTAAATA